AAATATATATATATGTATGTATGTATGTATGTATATGTGTGTGTGTGTGTGTGTAGATAGATAGATAGATAGATAGATAGATTGATTTCAGAAAGGAAGGGAGAGGGAGAGAGAGATGGAAACATCAATGATGAGAGAGCATCAATGATCGGCTTTCTCCTGCACGCCCCCCACTGAGGCTCAAGTCCACAACCCAGGCATGTGCCCTGACAAGGAATTGAACCGTGACCTCCTGGTTCATAGGTTGATGTTCAACCACTGAGCCACGCCAACTGGGCCAAAATCAAATTTCTTTACAAAGAAAAGGTGCTGTTTAGGATAATAACCACTCATTATCTACAGCACTATTTTTATAGTTGAATATCTCTAGCTAGAGACTCACTTTTTAAAAAAATTTATATTTTTATTGATTTCAGAGAGGAAGGGAGAGAGAGAATCATCAATGAGAGAATCATTGATCGGCTGCCTCCTGCATGCCCTACTCTAGGGATCAAGCCCGCAGCCTGGGCATGTGCCCTGACTGGGAAGCCAACCGAGACCTCCTGACTCACAGGTCGACATCAACCACTGAGCCACGCTAGCGGGGCTCTACAGCACTTTCTATGTGAGTGATCCCAGTAGTTAAAAGTGTTGTGTCTTCTACGGGCTCCTAGCCTGGAAATGACTATGAATGTAATTACCAGTTTTGTTAATACTACTCAGTAATTGGAACGTGGCTATTTTCCACAACTGTGAGTCAGGAGTGCCTGCAATAGTCGGGTGAGGCTGCTGGTGGGAAGCCTTTTCACACCCACCACAGACTCTGAGGACTTGTGAAACACATTCCCAGGAGATGGCCAAGAGACGGAAGACAACCGGATGTAAGGGTCTCCCACGCATGAAATCCACGATTAGCCACTGTTCGCCCTTCTTCTGATCTGCATAACTCAGTCTAATGAATGACGCTAAGGACAGCGCTGATTTCCTGGGGAAGCAGTGCCCTCACCATGTACACATAGCCCAGCGCCCTTCTCTACACATACCCCCCGCCCCATGCTGTTGACTTGCAGGACTGTCGTTAAGAATCACAAATATTCCAGAGAAGGGTAGTTCCTTGGGCTTTTTTGATCACTTGCCCTTGAATGAAGGATGGTTCTAACCCGCACTTGGCATTGGGGAATTAAAGAGGTAGACGGTAGGCGGACGCTGTCATTTACCTAAAATTATCTTGTGTGGTTTGTTGTCAGGATCCTGTTGATCTGGGATGGGAGCCTTACGTGAAGTCGTGGCTTGCGAAAACGTCTAAAATTATGAGTCCCTCAGGAGTGGATTGTCTTGAGTTCTTGATTAAAAATAGCGTCAAAGATGGGCTACAGTTTATAGAGAAACATCAGAAATTTCAGCCATTTCCTGTCCAGAACATCGCAATCATTACAACGCTCTGCAGAATTCTGGACGCCTTCTTTGAATTCATGGGTAAAAATGGAGGCTTTGGACAATGTGAGTTTTTCCTCCCTAAGTCATACTAATGATGCCATATGTTAGCTAATGTGCTGAAATATAAACTCTCACAGAAGGTATTCGTGGTATAAATTGATTCAGCCTTTCTTGGTGATGCATTTGATAACCTATGCTAAAAATAACCGTATACTCCAGTGTTTCTTATTCTAGGAATTTATTATAAAGAAATAATCACAGAAGTGTTCAGATTTAGCACAAGGAGCTTTATCTAGAACAGAATTATTTATTATCATATAAACAGCAAGAATCTGAATTCCAGCAATAGGAGAATGGATTAATAAATGATGCTGCAACAGTATCATGTTTCATTGGAGAGACGTGAAGGGAGTCTTAAAATAAAAAGCAGAAGCCCTAGCCTGTTTGGCTCAGTGGATGGAGCATCAGCCTGCGGACTGAAGGGTCCCAGGTTCGATTCTGGTCAAGGGCACATGCCCGGGTTGCAGGCTCGATCCCCAGTAGGGGGCGTGCAGGAGGCAGCCAATCAATGATTCTCTCCCATCATTGATGTTTCTTCTCTCTCTCCTTCTCCCTTCCTCTCTGAAATTAATAAAATATATTACAAATAGATAAATAAATAGAATGAGAACCAAAGTCTCTAATGTTTTATTTAAATTTAATTTTTTAAATGTTCTATATTTAACATTTAAATAGTACATATTTATATTAAAGACCATAATGAAAGGCATCAACATTTAATGATGATTATTTGTGGGTGTTGAAATTATGGGTGATTGCTGTTTTCTTCTGTATACTTTTTGTACTTCTGTCTGTTTTACAAGAATCCTACGTTTTAACATAAAGAAAACAAACATGATTTAAAGCATTAGCTAAACGGAAGGATGAATAATCATTCATTCTTTGTGTTTCTCTGTGGAATGGAGGACTTAGACAAAAAAGTGGGTGATGGGGTTAGGAGGGAGACTGTTACTATCTGCCTACAGTGCACGTGTTTGATGTTTGTTTTGATACATTTCGTATTTGAAAGCGTACAGGTTTCTGCTTTAATGCTTCACTTTATTAGGGCCCATTTATTACTTAGCTTGCAATGTGCACCATATTTAAAACCTATCTGAATGTTTTAAAGTCTTCATTTTGGAACAATCAGACTTACAAAAAAAAATCGCCAGAGTAGAATAAAGAAAAGAGTGTGCAGATTTAGGCTTCAAATAAAGAAGGATCAATTCAGACAAATTGCGGGTACATTCTCTGCTCCTCTTTTCTTAGAAACGTAACCCCCACTCCGGCCAGGTAAGGTAACTTCTTAAGATGCTGTAGATAAAACAAAGATGCTCCCCACAGATGATTCACGAACTAAACAGTGTTCCGAGCGAACCCTCAGTCATTCGTCAGCTAAATTTTAAGTCTCTTGTTAACTGTGGGGAAATACTCTTTCCTTTTTAAGGTGAAGATTCGAAGAACATTGCAACTGAGAGAAGTTCTCAGCATTTAAAAGTTCCTGTCAAATTCAAGAAGGTGGAAAAGAGGTCAGTTGCCTGCATTCAGCAGACGTGTTTTAGTACATACTGCTTGCCAAACACTCGAATAGGCACAAAATTACTTGTCCATAAACCAATACTTTTATGACGCCAAAATTTTAATACTTTTATAGCATCAACATTCACTTAAATTTATTTTTTTCCAGCTTAGATAGCATCTTGTATATCTAATACAAGGTCACCAGATTTTTATGCGAAGGTATGTGGATGATATGAATACATTTGTCCAAGCTCTGTACCATATTTGAGGAAAAAATAAACTTGACATGCACATAATTGATGAATCTGCCCTTTATGGGGTGAGAAGTATTGAACCAGTTACTATGTGTTTTGAGCCTGTATATTCTCGTTTTAAAAAACTGGAATAATGCGATGTGCTAGACATGTAGACTAGTGCCTGGCGCATAGTAAGTGCTCAGTAAATCACAACTGTCGAAATGATTAACTCTGCAGTTCTTCTGCCATTAGCAGGACAGGAAAGTACCTCTCGAGGCCTTCCTGCATCTCACTGGGAATCCCTGAGACATTCACGTCACATTTGCTTTTAAATGATACAACATCCTTCATATGGTTTTTACTCTCCCTGTCACCTCTGCCTTCACATTCATTCGTTTGTGTACATCTTGCTTACCAGCATTCTAGCCCAAACCTTCATTATTTCTCACCTGTACTGTTGTCATAGATGATGAATAATTCGTTTCCCCCATCATTCCAGTCTATTCTTAACATGATAACCATATATCATCTTTAATTTGTATTAAAGAGCAAGTAGCCATAAAGGAACATTTATAAAATGTACGATAGAAGTAGCATGCACAAATACCCACATTTTGTTACAGAAAAACACATATTAATTTATCTGTGAGGTCCCCTGTATACCCAGATTTTATGATACCCCGTCATGTGAGATAGCTGCTTTTCTGGGTTTTGTGTTCTAATGTATTCCCTAACAATATATTTTTTAACTTGGCGGTTTTTTTTGAAACCTTAACGGGATCACTTTCTAGGTTCTTCTGTGTCCTGCATTTTTAAAAATATATTTTTATTATTGATTTCAGAGAAGAAGGGAGAGAGAGAGAGAGAGAGAGAGAGAGAGAGAGAGAGAGAGAGAAACATCAGTGATGAGAGAGAATTATTGATTGGCTGCCTCCTGCATGCCCCACACTGGGGACTGAGCCTGCAACCCAGGCATGTGCCCTGACCGGGGATCGAACCGTGACCTTCTGGTTCCTAGGTCGACGCTCAACCACTGAGCCACACCGGCAGGGCTGTGTCCTGCATTTTTGTTCAATGTTATGTCCCTGTGACTACTCTAATTTCACTATTGACTGTAGTCCATTGTACAAATATGTCACAGTTTATCTGTTGTTTTCAATTTTTGTTATTACAAATACTGTGACTAATATGCCTGACGTGCCTCCTGATATTTATATGCAAGTGTTTGATTTTTTTAAAAAAACATAAATGAGAATGTCCCTTTTTATAGTCACTCAATGACTTCCCGTTATGCTCAAAATGAAGGGAAATGCCTTGGGACAGCTTTAAACGCCCCTTCCCCCCTCCCCCCAGCCTCCCCTCCTAATCTCTTCCACTAACTATATATGTACTTCAGGGACCCTGGTCTTCCTTTCATTTTTTGTTCCTCGAATTAGCCATGACTTTGACCTAATAGTCTTGGCACCTATATTGCTTCTGCTCAAATGCTTTGCCCCCTACGTTTTGCCAAATCTCACTCATTCTTCTGGTCTCAGTATAACGGTAGCTTCTTCAGGGAGGCCTTCCCCGATCCCCACAATCTAAATTCGTTGTCTCTGCTAATGTTCTCTAACGGTACGCTTGACTGTTCACTCTTTACCCTGAACATGGTTTACTGTTCATTTTCTTGTCCTGGAAACCAGGGGTCCTGTTTGCTTTGTGTAGAGTAACTTAAATATAGTCAGAATTCAAGAAATAGTTGCTGAGTAAACAATGACATATGACTGGAAATTTCTTTTGTTCCCTTTATTGATTAAGATATGACAAATGTGTCCTTATCCCTCCAATGTCCCCTCATCCCCCCAATCCTGCCCTCACCCTCACCCCCCTGTTGTCCACATCCATCGCTTATGCTTATATGCATGCATACAAGTCCTTTGGTTGATCTCTCCCCCTCCCCTACCTTCCCTCTGAGTTTTGAGAAATTTCTAATAGATTTGTATGCATGCATTGTCCATGGATGATTGCCAGTACATTTCAGTTCAGTGATAATATTTTCAGGATTTTTACAATTTAGAAATAATTGCACGGTAATGCGAAATCCTGAACTGTTTTAAATGTCTTCAGGTCAGGCC